TGTGGGGAGCCTTGGGTCCGGACTGCGTCGCTGCTCGCCATCATTTCTCTCCGTCGTCGGCCACGTAGCAGATCTCCTGCGAAGTCCCACCACCCTCACGTGCACGCTGTCAACCAGCGGCGAGGCCGGGAGTGGGCAGACAGAACCACACTGTGGGATCGACCACGTGTACCCTTTAGGGATGCTAATATCTACGTGTGTACTTGGAGAAGAGGGTAATGTTGGCCTGTGGTGTGCCCGAATGTGAATAAAGAAGAGAGTATCCTCTACAGACGTGTCGCGGAAGTCGCTCATTATACCTTTATAAACAGCTTACCGTCAGAGGCCAACCTCCCTGTTCCTGATGACGACCACTTGTGTTGCGATCGAAACGTCGTGATATTTTTAATCACTTTATTTTTTCTATCTACGTGAAGAACCATAGAAAATGAATTCCTGCAGTCACGAAAGTTTTAAGTAAAACATGACCTTGTTTATTAGAAGGTTTGGATTTCCGATGGCCTCACGGTATGAGATGATCCTCATGGTTGCATTTAGTTGTGTATCCACCAGCTTCATGTGCACGGTTTTGCTCAAGGCTGCTGTGCGATATTCTGCTGCAGAGAAGACGTGCTGTGGTGGCCGTCCGGAGCATTTGCTCGCCATGTTGTTCTAGCCAGTTTATGTACAAGATTAACTCGTGATTTTGTTTGCTCAATGACTGTCCAATGACACGAGCTATAGCACTCAGCCGACGTGAATCGCCACGCGGTGCCGTAGCCACCGCTGGTCCGCCCACACTTTAGTGGTGGTATGCGTGGATATTCTAACATCATGAATTGACCACTGTATACGGATTATGTATTTATATTCCGATCTTTTCCATGAGTAATAGAAGTCCCCTCTCGTTTTGTGAGGTAATGGAGAGAGAAAATTTACCAATGTAATTGGACTTTTACAGCTTGGCCATCAACCTGTCCTCCTTCAGAGATGAGGGTAGTTTATTTTTGCCTCGTGTGCCACTGCGCGTGCGGAGCAGCTGATCAGTAAAATTAGCACCTGGAGGAGGGAGGGAATCTCTCCAGCACATTTAGTCAACCTCAATGCCTTTTTACAGGGTTCTCATTGTTCAATAGCTCTCAAGTCAAGTTTAACTCCTGTCTGTTGTGCAAAATTCATTTCGATTAATATATTTTCTAAACAAACAACACCACAGCAATGAACGCATTATTATACTCCGCGAACTTGTTCAATGGTATGCCCACGACACCACTGGTCATTACTGCTTGCGTTGTGTATTAACCGTGAAGTTCTGTGCGCCGTCGGCCTCAATGGGCACGTTTAAGATCCCGCGATGGAATTCGCCATTGTGTGCTGGCGTCATTGTCCAAATTTGAAAAATTACACCCCAAATTATTAAATAAAAATTATACGTATCAACATCGCTCCCTACTGTGAAACTACTGCAGACTATGTATGTGAAATATGTCACCTTCGTGATGATTGCCGTGCATGACGAGAATGATAGTGCCAAATACCAAATGTTCTAAATTATTGACAATTATTGTGTGCTGTGTGTATATAGTGTGGGGATGTTTTGTGTGTATGGGGAGCGGGAGTGCAGCGGTTAGCACGCTACGCTATGAACCCGATGACCAGAATTAATTTCCCGCTCTCGGCCACACCAGTGACGATTATCCGAACCAGTCCTGGGCCTCCCCTAGGTCGACTCAACCTTAAACGATTACCTGGTGCGGTGTGTAAGCATTGTTAAGAGGGAGACAAAGGTGACCGGCATGGTGCTGGCCACCCGCCCCCTCGTGTGCCATGCTGACTTTCATCGGTGCCTGATAACAGCACTTGCTCCAACAGTCTGTAAAAGACTATATGGGGGATCTTTGTTCTTGCGTGAGTGGTTGAGTGGGTGAACATGCAAACTGTGTTAGTCGGATCAATCCCACGACCTGTATACCAGGCGAGGCAGTTAACATCACGCCACCGGGCACCTTTATAGTCCTCACCAACAGCCCTTACCTCAGCAGCTTGAAAAGGCTACATGGTGGATCTCTGTCTTTCTGTGCGTGCGTGAGCAGCTGGCTGTACCGCGAGGCTGCGGTTCAGGATGTACGAGTGATCCCCGAGTCATCCACCGCCCACGTCTCTGTCATCATCAGCCAGGCGGCCCTCGGAAAGTTCTACAAACGCTTTGGTCGCCCATTGTGACAATTCAACCCCGGCGTGACCGTCCAGTTCCCCAACAAACAGGTCAACAGGTTACAGTGATCACCTGCTAAAATGAGCATTGAGGTGGTTGGTCATCTCTCACTGAGCCAGTGGTGAAACACCACTTATGGCAGGGGGCAAGTATATCCAAGATCAATCCTATGAGAGAACGTACATGGAAAGTTTATGAATATACATTTATCTCAAATTCTTGAAATTTATGGACTTCTGCTCCCCCTTGGGACGTTTCTATATCCGCCCCTGGGCGTTGTTTTCTCTATAGGACGACCACTGCTGACTTTCCCATGAAGTAACACACGTTTTTTAGACCCTGGAGTGATGCTGGGTTTGTGACACGATGCAGTCAGGCTTTTTTTATTTATTTAATCAGGAGATGAACTAGACCCATTGAGATGCTCGAAACATCATTGCTTCTTTAGCACGATGACCTTGTAATACAAATTGCAAAACAACTGGAAAAAAAACAATAGAAACTGGATAAAACAAACAATATCAAGGCGATTAACAAAGCAGCCAGAAAAAAACTGGTTTCCAGAATGTAAAGTAACCAACATGAAAGTTTCACAATATGATTTTCACCTGTACTGATGGTAACAAAAACAAGCCAGTGATTTCCTACTCCAATGAGCATCGAGGCATTGGTGCTTATTCTTGTATTTAGCACTGAGCCAGTATTAGAAATTACACATTACCATAGCGGGGGCGAGTCCATAGGAAAACCACTTGACTTACCCATGAAGGGGTACTCATTTTGACGACCGCTCTCTATGATTTTTAGCCGCTCTATAATTGAGTCTCCGGTGCTACAGCGGACGTCACCGCACCTATGAGACCAGGTCACGCGCATGCGTGTGTAACGTACCAACGTCAGTGTACCGACCTTGGATTTAAAGTGTATTTGTTTAACCAGATGATATTTCAACGACACCAGGATATATCATTTTTAAGAGTGATCTGGGTCATCAAAAGGACAAAAGTAATGCAATTCAAACAAGGTGCAGCAAGCAATCAAACAATTCGGAGCAGAAACAAAAAAGAAATCAGCAAAAACTGCATGACAGAAGAATTGTACATTAAGCACAGACACATTTAACATTACCCGTGCTGAGATGGAATCCCACAGCAAGACATCAATATCACTTAGTAATCGGCGTCATTGTGGAGTACAAAGACAACGATCCACCGTACAGCCTTAGGGGCCATCCATAAATGACGATTTTTGCCCCTCCCCCTTCGTCACACGGTGTCACAAAAAAGTCAGACCCCCTCTCAAAAAGAACGTCACAAAGCTCTGCCCCCCCCCCCCAAATAAAACATGCTTCAAACGCTTTAAACTATTGTCATTGTAGTGCGTATTTAATGTGGCGCTGCACTCTGATGTAGGAGAAAACATTTATTAAAAAGTCTTTAATGAAGTAGAACGTGTTTATATTTAAAGTTGCGCATTTTGATGTGACGTCACATTTCTCCCCCCCCCCCCCCGTCACACATCGTCACAAATGTCTGACCCCCCCCAGGTGCGTGACGTCATTTATGGACGGCCCCTTAAACTTTTGGGGCAAGTGCTGTTAGCAAGCACCTATGAAGCCTGGTGCGGCACACGAGGGCGTGGGTGGCCAGCACCACGCCCGACCGCCTTTGTCTCCCTCAAGGCGATGTTTACAAACCAGGTCCTCATTTGAGGCTGAGTCAACCTCGAGGAGGTTCAGGACTGGTTCAGATATTCGTCACTGGTATTGGTCGTCAGTGGGAGCCAAACTCGGGTTGCCAGGTTTGTAGCGAAGCTCGCCAACCGCAAGCAACAATACAAGCAGGAGACAATTGCCTCCCGATATCTGTTCCACATAAAAGTGACTTTTTACACATCCCATCAATCACACAGCCTTCTGGGAGTGCATCTTAGCATTGGTGCAACATTCATTGGCTCATCAGCAGAGAGCCAGACTTGCTTAAACACAAAATATACGTTTATGTATCGAGTTGACATACATTGGCTTGCACAATAAAATTGAACGGTGAACTGATATCTTTGGCAATAAAATGAAAAAATATATACTGTATTTCATGTTTATTATTCTGGGGTCTTTGTGAGCTTGGAGGGCCTGTGTCATTGGGGTAAAACTGGATGTCACCGCTGCAGTGCAAGTGGTATGCGCGTGAGACCTCACCCAGAAAACAGATCGCTCTGGGCACTTTCTCAATCTATAAAAGGTACACGCATCCCATCAGCCACACATGCTTCCTGGAGTGCATCATTTCAGCTGCATTGGTTCAACACAAGCAAACCCGAGTTCGACATGTAGTGCCTCTTGAATCAAGGATGTGGGTCCTCGTTCGTTGCAAAAATATAAAAAGAATGTCATGGTAGTTTCATGAAATAGCATTGCAGGGGCGGCGCAATATTAACTTCCTCGCCTGGTATGCAGGAGGTCGTGGATTCGATCCCGACACTGACGCCTGCTGTATATGTGGAATTTTCACCTCCCGATGGTCGCGTGAATTTTTTTCCGGGTCCTCCGGGTTTTCCCTCCACATTTTGAATCAACATCACGCGTTTAGAGTATTTGGTTGATATACATTTCCACGCGATAAGCCACTTCGTTGAGCTATCATTTGTGATAACCAGGTCGCTTGTGAAAAGGAGCTAGATAGCTCGGTGTGGCCTTACCTGGTCAACTAAAAAGTAGTTAATGTTTTATAGTTTCTGAATGTACCATCCAGCAGTGGATTATCACAACACGTGACGTCACCAGCCGCGTGGCACCCCGGCGGGTGACGTCACGAGTCTCAACGGAGCACCCGGAACCCGGGGCTCGGCGACGCGGACTTCTGGCTCGACCCTCGCCGCGCTGTCTCCGCGCTCTCTCCGCAGGGCTCCTAGAAGCGCCGGCATGGAGGTGAGCCGCAGATTTCTCACCCCACGCCGCCTCACCACCACCACCTTCACCGCCCGGGCTCGCTTCTCCCACACCCCTTGTAAACGCAAGGGCCTAGGGATTCCGGCATAGCCTCGACGTTCCCTAGATTCGCGGCCGACATAGGGGGCGCGGTGGTCGGGCGGGATGGGGGTGCCGCGTAAGTCCCGCAGTTTGTTTGAAGGTTTTTGCTAAAATGTGCTTGGATTGATATCATAAAGTGCCGCCGTTTGAACACAAGCAAATTCTATTCGCTGTTTCGACATCCAGCGTCTCAGTAGAGTGGGGCTTGTTTCAACCAATGCTGCTGAACTGCCAGACGTTTGTTGGCTAAGACCCAATTTAGTTGACTGCTGATGAGACATGTGACTTTACCGAAAGAACTAAGAGTATGAATCCTTGCAGTCACGAAAGCTTCAAATCTAGAAGAGACACTGAAGGTCTAAACCGGTGGAGGGTTTGTTTGTGTTGAACCAATGCTGCACTCCCACAAGGCAATGTGGATGATAGGTTGTGTAAACGTGTCTACCGGGCGCATCTGTGAAGGAAGGGCTTTATAACTCATCGGATTTCTCCTTGATAAATACAGATTCTGAGATTCTGCATTTGTTTTATTATTCTATGAGACCTTTACCAGTGGCAAAATATAGTAGTAGGTTTTTACCCTTTAAACTGGTACAAAACTGACACCTTTATACAAGGCATCATGTTTGCAATAACCGCAACACAAGCAGTCAAATGCAAACAAAAAGAAACAACTCTGATAATGGTAATGATATGCACTGTCCTTGAAGTTGATTGGTCCACACCCGAGACAGCTTTCCTTAGAGCCTAGTCTCCATTGGCGTTGGACCAGATGACGCCAAAAGGCGTACAACTCAAAAACAGTGCACTATCAGAGTATTGAGAGCTCGGGGTAAGCATTTACACTATGAGACCTCCTTTACCAGTGGCAAAATATAGTAATAGGTGTTTACCCTTTAAACTGGTACAAAACTGACACCTTTATACAAGGCATCATGTTTGCAATAACCGCAATACAAGCAGTTCAAAATGCAAACAGGCGTCATCTGGTCCAACACCAATGGAGACTAGGCTCTAAGGAAAGCTGTCTCGGGTGTGGACCAATCAACTTCAAGGACAGTGCATTCATTACCATTATCAGAGTTGTTTCTTTTTGTTTGCATTTTGACTGCTTGTGTTGCGGTTATTGCAAACATGAATGCCTTGTATAAAGGTGTCAGTTTTGTGCCAGTTTAAAGGGTACGTGGAGATACAGTTATGTGAAGGAGGCATATACCTGCTCATTTCTTTTTTTGTTAATTATGTTCCCACTACGCGAATGATAAAGTTGTTTTTTCTATGATTATTGTGAGACATTCACTCATTTAGCCCAGTCTGCGCTGCCTTGCAGGGGGTTAAGGATGAGCATTTATTGATGGTCAAGGCAACTCAAGAAGTACTTAGTGCAATGAGGATGTAATTGTTGATGCCATGAATTAAAAAAGTAAAAAAAATGCACGAAAATGTTTTCAAGTCAACTTACGAATTAAATACAGTAAAATTGTACATAGATGTGGCTATGCAGAATAGCTATTTCTCTTTTTTAAGGCCACATTGTTATTGACGAACGTGCTGAGATATTTTTGTATCTCTGTGCTTGAGCACAATTGCCAGTGACTTATCACCAATCAATGAGTAAATAAGCATGATACTATATTAAAATGAAGTAACTTAACGTTTAAGTTAATTCGTCCTCTTGGTTGCCAACCTTTCTGGGCCCGTGCCCAACAATTGAAGCGCGCATTGAGATTATGGAGATTATTTTGGCGCTATGAATGTCCAAATGATGGGTCACTGTTGAGCTATCATTTGTGGCCAGGTCTCCTTTGAAAAATAAGCTAATACCTTAGTGGGCTTTGCATGGTAGGATGGGGATGGTTTAGTTGCATTTGTATGGGTGATTTGTTTACCTTTCTTGTACTTTGCACTCCTATCATGTTTGTGTATTGTTTGTTGTTGTAACGTTCGTACCCACCCCTACTGGACATCTGTGAAAAAGAGTTTTATAGCTCATCGGATTCCTCCTGCAGTATAAATACATATTCTGATATTTTTTTTTATAATCCTCTGGACCAGTAGTTTTTCTAGCAGTATTTGTTTTAGCAGCAAAACTCTGGTGCAGTTTTAACTTCAGATTCTCATCGTCGGCCAGGTGATTTCAGTGCTAGAGCGAGCGAGTGGCTCACAATTGGGAAGGTTTGCGAGCTCAAATCATGTTTGGAGGGGTTGATCTAGTCCAGGGTTCAGCAATTTTTCAAAGAAGAAGACCGTTCTTGTTTGTTTTTAACTTCGACCAACATAGTTGGCTCCGTAGCCGCAGGCTGCCCGACGCCTGACCTAGTCCATCAGTCTGGGCTTGATACAATCACTAATGCTTTTCTGGTAAATTAACAGTGGTTGGATGTACTCGCCTCTGCCATAGGAATGCATAATTTCCACCACTGGTTCCGGGCTGTATAAAAGGAAATGAGCACTGCGTCTATGCCCATTTGAGCAGGAAATCGCTGGCCTGTTTTGGTTACCATCGGAACAAATGATTAATCATCTTACGATACGTATCGGTAAATTTATGGTCGGGAGACCAGTTTTTTTTATCTGCTTTTGTTGATCACCTTGATATTTAATCTTGCTCCTGGTGTTTTGTCCACTTATTTTGCATTTATACAACGCATGCGCACAAGATTCCCATTGCAAAAGAGGCAATGGGGTCTCAAGCATCACAATGGGTTTATTTTTAGTTAAATAAAGGAACCTGACTGCATTGCGTCATTTATTCATCTTGTCACAAGACAAATATTCACTGAGGAACTCAAAGTGGAACGGGCCTCAGAAGATGACTTTGCACTTTTGTCCAGTAACTTCATGCTTCTTTATTCACAATAGGAAGCACGTATTTTATATGCCTCACAAGATGTATCGCATCACATTAAAACCCTCAACTCTCGCTTCAACAGAAGTAAAGTGTCAGTGATTTTCTGCTCCAGTGAGCACACCGAAATGTCAATGCTTTCTCTTGTCTGCCAGATCCCACTGTTCTGCCTAGTAGACACGGAGCGACCTCTGATATCTGCCCCGACAGTCTCCCACCATCTGCTCTTACTGTTACACTAAAATATAGAGCTTGCACCTGCACCAAACGTTTTATCCACGGTGGTTAGTTAAATCCATGGTGGCGAGATGTTAACTACCTCGCCTGGTATACAGGAAGTCGTGGAATTGATCCCCACCCTGACGCCTGTATATTTGTAGTTTGCATGTTCTCCCTGTCTTCGCGTGGATTTTTTCCTAGGTCCTCCGGGTTTTCCGTCCACAATTAGAAAAACATGCGTGAGGCCCTCAGCTATATAGCTATTTTCAGAAGCAACCTGGCCTCATGATAGCTCAACTGATGTGGCTTATGTGAAAATGTATAGCAGCCAAATGCTCCAAACACATGTTTCTAAATGTGGAGGGAAAACCCGGAGGACCCGGAGAAAAATCCATGCGACCACGGGGAGAAAATAGTAAATTCCAAATTTCTAGGCTCCAGGGTCAGGATCAAACCCACAAACCTCTTGCACACCAGGCGGGGGATTTAACATCTCGCCACACGCCACAGGAAACTAGCTAAACAGCACCATCCGTGTAACATATTATATTAACTTAAGCTTAGATCTTCTCTTCGCCTTGGTCGGTGGACTCGTGGCAATCATCTCGCCAATCGGGACTCTTCTTGTCCTGCCCCAATTTAAATGCACCTGTTCTCTTTCCGGATTTCTGCTCTGCTTTGTCCTGTTTTGAGTTGGAATATAAGCCAAATGACATAACAAATTGGTTGCCAAGCAGAGGACCCTTCACTTCTACATTTCAGATTCCAGTTTGATCGCCGGCATAGAGAGCCCAGCACTCAGCAATGTCGGCTCGGTGTCTCTGACATGGCCATTATGAACTTTGCTAAACCACTCGGGCGCTTCTCCTGCGTGTGATTTATAATGCAGTAATGTAATGTCTTAATCGCACGTCTGACGCATTCGCTTGTAAAATAAATACTGGCCACGGGGATTTACTGGTGCAATATTTGCTCAGTGTTTATGAAATCCTGAAATAACCCAAGTTGGCAGGCAGAGAAATTTGCTTTGACTAAATAGCGCGCTATTATTTTAAAGCAAAGTGCATGAAAGGCAGCACATTTTAGAAGGGATACTTTGAAGGATATTAATGGAAATTATACATTGTTTTGGCAGGGTGTAGATTTCATCCTTTCATCTGTTTTCAAACTGCTTGTGTTTTGTTTGTTGTCCTTCCACCGCACCATGGATTAGCACGGTTGGTAATATAGACAGTTGTGTTTGCAATAGTTTAATTTTTCTCTGGTGTTCTTTTAGTCTTACACTAATGGCTACAATAATGCTCAAATTAACAGAGCACTAAATGCCAAATCACGATCGCAAAGCAACACTGCTGAAAGCGATCAGATTATTAAAACAATAAAAATGCCATTTATCTCAGGAGTAACTGACAAATTAGCCCGTGTTTTGCAAAAGCAAAACATTACAGTAAGATTTGGTACAGTACACAAAATTCAACAACTAGTAACTTGAACTAAAGACGAATTACCTAAATTATCAACAGAAGGTGTATATCGGATTAATTGTTTGTGGCAGGTGCTATATTGGACAGACAGGGCGTAACATTAGTGTAAGACTAAAAGAACACCAGAGAAATATTAAACTATCGCAAACACAACTGTCGGCAGTGGCAGAACATGCTTGCCAACAGGGACACTCAATTGATTTTGACAACGTTGAAGTGTTGTGTAAAACTAGTTACTACTGGCAAAGACTAATTAGAGAATCCATTGAAATTGAGACAAACAGAAATAACTTTAATCACTCAGACAGCTACAGGCTTAGTGCGGCCTGGAAGCTTATTATTAAATA